TAGCCTATTAAAATCTGAGGAGACAAGGCAACAGCAAGATCAGCAAAACGAAGACGACTGGATCAAGGTAACATCTTTAATTTTAGCAAAAGAAATCGCAAGGAGACCAGAAAGAAACAATCAGAAGCTAAGAGAAGACGTCTTCAGTGAGCCTAATCAAAACGAGTAGAACCATGACATTTGTGGTTTGGCACACAAAATATTAGGGCATATGAAGTCATAGACTTGGCACTATGGATAGAAGTACGATAGATGCAGCGGATATTAGAGTTAGTTAGCTGACAGAGACGTGGTCCATGAAGCAAAGGCTTGACCATGAGAATTACTCGGACTCTTTAGCCTCAAATAAGTCCCCTAGAGGCAGGGTGTGGGTAATAACGCCTCGAGTAGCACAGATGGGGTGGCAAGGGTCGAGTGAAATACGTGAACGATTGAGATAGCACACTGATCCTACGGGGCAAGAGGGAGACTTTGATAAGACCTAAGGAAGGAGGACTGCCTGACAATATGGCAGACTCTGATCAACATTCCCAGCTAAGGGATGAATGGGGTGAGAAATGTAGTGTAGGATGTTGAGTCTTCTCATGAAATCCGCTCAAAACGGCTCATCATACCACATTCAAATATGTAAATGAGAAAAAAATTGTGATAGTTAAGAGGTGATCTAAGGATATAGGATTAGTGATTAGCTTAGGGGTAAAGAAGAGATAAAACACGATTATTTAGCAGACAATTGGTCAAAGGATCGGCTTCAGTTGTCACTTTTGACGAAATGTCATGTGGTTCTAAGGATGGCAAAGCCTATTAACGATGCCGGCGAAACGTCTGGAAATGTACCACATCCACGATTCGCCTCTGGCAATTATCTTGCATAATATGGACTCTGGATTAGGTGCGTCCCTCTAGCTTGTCTTAACAATATGGTCAAATTGCGAAAACATGATAAAACAACTGCTAAACAACGAAAGGAGTCTGCGACCATACTAAAGGCCACGCCACTTTGAGCATCGTAACTTCGATTCAATAAAAAAATATTCTGTAGCCTCTACGATCGCCACAGTAATTGGTCTTAGTTTTTACTGCATTAAACTGGTCATAGCACATAATTATCCAGTTCCAATTTTTGCAAATAAATCTCAAGTGAGGTTAAAAGACAGCTAGCCATATTATATCATGCGTCATTTTTTGGCGAGATAGGCATTTAACTCTCTTCATCACAAAGGTTTAGGCGAGATTAACAGAGATTCCTCAAAATATAAATTATCATAAGATATCAACAGACTTTTGTAAATTGATATCTCATTACAACGTCAAATAATACCTAGCTATCAGCCAAAGCATCATCTTCCAAGCGTAGAATTCCTTACTTGAGGCTTGAAAGAGGAATAAACAAGGGGGAATTGCGTTGCTATTGTTGGGCCCGCCTCCCTTTCAAGTAAGAGTGTGCGATGAAGGCATTCGAAGGTCAAACCCACAAGAAGACATGACAGACTCCTTTTGATAAGCTGTCAGCTAGCTTCACAAGAAAATTCTTGTTGACATAATCCACTTGGCTATCACCTTTGATTCTGATGTAAACGTGTCTGGCATATGACGGACATCATCAAAGCAAGGTATCACTTTTAAAACTATATTCAAGCTTACCCCTAAATGTTATATATTTACCTCAAGCCTAGGTATTTTGATGGGATGGAAAGTGATTTGTTTAATTCCAGTCATATATCAATCTAAATGCATGTGTGTGTGTATGTCTCTATCTGCTTCTGCGCCCTCATGTATGGTTATATGTATGAAACCAGCATTAATCGCTCAAAATAATTAGAACAGAATGTAAGATATATCCTTAGTCATCAAAGTTAATGATCTCCAACTTACTTTTTTTAAACAATCACTCAGATTGCATGTCAGACGAGTCTTGTTAAAGTGATGAGCTTTTTAACTTGCATGTGTGTGTGTGCGTGCACATATGTAGATGATTGGGGGAACGAGAGAGAGAGATTGAATTTGGACATTTATATACTGTGTTGCAGTATGCGAGACGATCCTTTGCTTTATCAAAATATACAGTATGAATTTTCTGTTTCCTAAGTAGGTTTTAGAGACTGCCAGTAGATATGATATAAGGGCTGTATTCACCCAATTTTGCTTAAGGTGATGAGGGGCTGATAGTTGAATTTGCCCACAATCAGACGAACATACGTTGCGTCCCAACTAGCAGTCTTTAATTGTCATAAATAAAATAGGATGAATAAACCTCTTCTATCCTTTGTGTATTTCGTATTCAGGCTGAACAGTTAGAATGGAAGAAAATCAAAGCCGGTTAAACATACCCGAAGTTTCATGGAGCCCCGAACCTTCTGGCTCTGGCCTGACGGTCTCTGAGGAGACGTCTCCGATGAATGCAGTCTTAGCCGAAGACAAGGGCTGTTCGAGCGGTTTTGATTTTGCAATTTCAGTCGCTTTCATTTCCCCGACGGCCGCTCCTCTGAGAGCTAAAGCTTCCGGATCGTCGGCCACCAAGACCAAGCCATCGAGGCTCCGAGAATCGTCACATCTCGGCTGAGCTGGTGACGTCTGGACCAGCAGGTCGGTTGCTTGGGTCATTTGAAGTTGCTGTAGACACACATCGATCGGATCAAGCAGATGATATTCAGTAGGTAATGTTCGGTCGACGTCACCGGAGAACTCACACTTGGCAGTTGCGCTGTTCGGTTCAGACGCTCCGGCAAATACAGCATTATCTTGACTCTGATGAGTCTGGTCCAAAGATGAACAGAGCTGGGCGGTCTGAGCATCATTTTCCAGGTAAGCAGCCTAAAAATGAGAAGAAACAACAACCTATAAGCATGACAGAATTATCAAAAAAGAGTTTTTCTGACCTAGTTTCCTCAACTTTGTCTGCGGAAAATAGAGACCCCTGAACGTACCCGGTCCCACGTCCTCTGCAACAGTAGGCAAGACAATATCTAGCCTCTGACATTTGGCATTCACAGCACAGATGCCGATTACGATGCCGGCGAAACGTGTGTGAATGTCAACAGTTCGCTATTAACGACTATCAAGAAGTAAATGACAGGGAACGCAGGATTGGATACGTTTCACAAAATAGGTCTTTTTCCCAGATCAAGCTGCGAAACTGAGGTCAAAGCAGCACAATACAGCTAAAAGAGGCTGTCCCCGAACCTAAGAGCACACGAACTTAGTCTTCAAATCGACATAAAATAAATAAATTAAGAAAAATATATGCCTAAGACGGGAGGTAAGAAAGGACAATGCATTATATCATTTCCCTGCGATCTAGATCCTAAAGTCCTACTAAGAAAGTGACTTCCCCTCGTAACATCTATTCTGTTGTCTCTATTTGATGTAAAACCGTTTAGCCCACGACTTTCGATAAATCTCTTAAACAACAAAGAGAATACAAATAGGTTAAAGTTCGAGAATCTTTACTACTTTGGTCATTCAAAGCCAATTTAATTCTTTGTTTTGTTCAGCAATTTTAGCATAACATATTCAATCATTATTCGAAATCATTATTACAGGAGCAAAGTTCTGTAGAATTCCGATGCGAGAGAATTGGAGCAACCAAGAATGAGACAGTTGTATTGCCAAACCACAGAATTTTAAAGGGCCAAGGTAGCCTACCAAATTTACTGCTTACAAGAAAGCCCATCTCCCGAGTGAAGGATGATACCATTCAATTCAGCTCTTCCAGTGCTTCTCAGAAAAACGAGGATGCTGGTCAATCTCACAAAAAAGCTAAATATTTTGGCCAAAAATTCGAAAAAATTGCCATTGGGAGTAGGTGATTGAGTATATGCAGTATGCAAAATATGCATGCTTTTTTCGTCGTCTGTGGCATGCTAGTGTTGCTGAAGATCCTGCAATAAAGATGCGAATCTGCTTTTTAGATTATTTGCTTCAGGTCGAAGATTTGAAAAAAAATGTCACGGGAAAGGGGGATCTGCGTACTATCTGATCTTTGCAGCAAATGTGAAATATGCTCAGTTCATTGAAATGCATAGTCGTTATGGATTAGACAATATCGGAAGAGGAAAAGGCCAACGAATTTTTATAGAGTGATTTACTCAATGCCAGTTTATCGTAAAATCCGTAACTGTGACATGGAATTGTTTAAACAGATTTCATGGAGCAGAAAGTGGGTTTCAGGAACTCACAAAACCGGGAACAATAAATCTGCTGATGCTTCATTAATGAAGACTCTAGACGAATGCATTTTAGACAGGTTTGCAGCTATGCCTCCGGTGTGAGTGACTAGAATGCTTATCAAATGCCAAAATTATATTCAACGCCCGTAAGTTGCTGGCTTAAGATACAGAGTTTCGCAAGTTGAGGTAATTGGGATCACTACTAACTGACACTTCAATACAGTGTACGACTTCAGACGATGACGATTAGAAATCCTACTAATAACACCACTACAACTAATAATAGTAATATTAATACTAATAGCGATACTAGTATTACTAATACGAGTATAACTACGACTACAATTACTACGGTAACTGCAATTTCTACTATTCCCACTGCTCTAAGGTCTCCTCCTTCTCCTACTACAACTACAACTACGACTACTACGACGACTACGAC